AAGACCTGTCGGAGGATTCCAGAGAGCCCACTTTCCCACCGTCATTGCTGGCCCTGCATTCCTGCCTCTGCTGGGCTCTTATTCTCTTGGTCTTACACCTGTTCTTTTACCCCTGGTGTTGAGCCCAGGGTGGGCCCTGGCTCCCCACATCCCCTGCAAACCAGCATCAAAGCACCCACAGATACAAGCCATGAACTTGTAAGGGTCACCAAAAAGGCTGTGCATAATAGCACACTTAACACAGATGACAGAAGAACAGACTTCCCATTCCAGAATGTTCCCTGGACTGGGGAACTTGGGAGTTGTGCGGGCTACCCATCCCGTGGAGCGCCTGGCCTCAGGTCATCTCACTGCTTTCTCCGCCTTATTCCCTCCTCCAAATCTTGCCATTAGGCAAAGGAATTTACTTCTCTCCCCACCCAGGCCTTAAAACCTCCAGACCTGCCTTTGTATAGCCCAAGCGCATCCAGGCTCTTAGCTGCCAGAGAGCCCTTCTAGGCCATTAGCTGCAGCAAGGCCCACCCAGCGGGGACCTGGGGGTTAGGGCTCATCCTTTACCAGGATGCACCTTCGTTAGTAGACACTCGAAGTTTTAAATAGCATTTTCCTCTCCCTTTAGATTATCTCTGGTGGAAGCTTCTTTGAGGCGAACAATCTATAATCTCTCATTCATTCATTCATTCAACACATATTTATCGAGGACGGTCAGTGCACCAGGTGCAGATGCTGGAGGAACAAATAGAGTCATGCTTGCTTCTAGAAACCTGCTGATGGATTGCTTGCCTCACCTGTGGGGCATGACGAAAGGAAGGATTAACGCGCTGGGTATCGTCTGATACAGTAAAACCAAAACTCACGAGATACTATGTTATTGAGGGGCGCCAGTATTCTTCACCTTGCAAAGGGATTCACTGTAGGATTAAATAAATCCAGAGAACTTTAGAATTTGATGGGACCTCAGGGACCAGCTCATTCAATCCCTATACTAGGAAAGTGATATTTAAACAGTGTAAGAGGCTTGCTTCCAGTTATCCAGCGATGCCTGAGCCAGGGGGTCACATCCAGCACGGCGTTCTCCTTCCCAAGACTGGTCTCTTCCCATCATGCCTTGCATGCTACAGAGATATTCCAATGGCGATGAGGATGATACCATTGATAATAATATTTTTTGAGTGCTTTCTAGGTGCCAGACACTGTTCTAAGTACTTTTCATATGTCAAACATTGTTCTCCTAGCAATGCCATTAATACCACCGAGAGAGTGCTGAGGCACAGAGAGATCAAGCGACTTGTCTAAGGTCACACAGCTCAGAAGTCCTGGCTCTGGGTTCTAATCCGGGTTATCTGGCTCCTGAGCCCAGATGCTGAACGACAACACTCTATGGCTTCTCTTTTGAGAGGGACTCCCTGACCCCGAGCTCTGGCAGAGAAATGAGTTTCCACCTACCTATTTAAAGTTAGGTATTTCTGTATTGAACATCATTGCAGTGCCAACCAAACCAAAGCTCGATGTCATACTTTCGGAGTTTTAAAGTATTGGGTTGCTCTGTATAGAGCTGCCATTAAAGTTTGTAAAGCGGTGCTGATAAAACAGCGGGAAAAGCAGGTGGGATGCGTATGACAAGTAGTAGGATTGTGCTCAAGGTTACAGGTGAAACAGGATGGTGGCTAGAGATTCCTGCAGACTCTATGGAGTGCGAAGTCTGGAAATAAACCCAGTCAAATGCCAACCGTGTGTGGTGCTTCTTCCATAGCAACTATACTTACAGTATTGTTTACAAAACAATCATGTCTCTCTTGGCAGTGCCTGAATTAAATATTGTGCTATTAATGAATTAAGGTCAGGCATGTTTTGCTGGCTCCCAAAATCATCTTGTGTGAGTCTTAGAGTTGACTTTTTGCCTGTGTGCTTGATTAATTTCCCAGAACACCCCTCCTGTTGCACACCCTTACCCTCCAGCCCCCCTTATAGTTTGGGGATTCTCACTGTGAGTAGGTAGTCCCAGCAGAGCCCAGAATCTAAAACAAAGAAGACCAGTTCGTTCTCTAGTTAGCTTTTCCCTTTGACGTGGTGATCAAAATTAACCCTGGAGAGTATAAACTTCCATGCCTCCATGTCTCCTACAGATGCCAGAATCTTGGAAAGTCATAGAAGAGAGCAAAGAGAATGCTGTGAACCTCCCAGGAACTTCGGGGACAAATGGATTGCTATTTGTTTTCTCTGTTTCATAGTAATGATTACAGGCTGGCCATGGTGTTTAGCAACAGGATCCAGCAGGTCAGTTATGACAACTTCATCACTGTCATTAGGGCCTTTTGTTTGCAGTGAACACAAAAAGCTGTTCAGCATTAAGAGAGTCAAGGAAAAGAAAGAGAGGAGGGGGTGGAGAAAGCCAAGGAGAGAGCCAGGGAACCAAGGTTCGAACACTATTAATACTGAGGAAAAATACCACTGGGTGCTCTAGTCAGCTGACTTCAATGGTGAAGGGGCCTCAGTTAGGGGACCCAATTTTGGACTCCCAGTTCTTTCTCTGAGAAGAGTAATGGCTCATGTTTATAAAGGCTAATCATTTATGCCAATTTTGGTTCCTAGAAAAACCCTAGGGGAATGTTATTTTTGGTAAAGGGTCTCCCTGCTTCAAGTATAGTGACTGTGACTAACTAGTTTCAGTATCTTCTCTCGAATGTCAGGGTAAAATGAAGTAAAATAAATAGACTGAGTGCAGTGACCTTTGTTGCGGACTTACCGAATGACAGGCAAGGTGGCCTTTTTATGTGTATCATCTCCTTGGTCTTAACAACCCTGGGGTCTGTGGCTTCATACCCATTGTACTAATGAGGACAATAAAACACAGAGGGGTAAGGTGTTGCCTCTGAAATCACCCAGCAAGTCACAGCCCAGCAGGGATTTGAATTCCGGTGTGTCTCTTGTTCCAAGTTGACTACACCGTGCTGAAAACTCACACACACACACACACACACACACACACACCACACACCAACCCCTCCCCCAGAACAAAACAAGCACACGACCATCAAAATTCTTAACTGAAGCCAGAGACAAGGTTAAAAATCTCAGTACTTGGAAGGACCATGGAAAAGTAGGCAAGAAGTATGTATTTATTTCGGGATCCGATCATGTGAAAGCTTGAGTGATCAAAAGACCTATTGAAAGAAATTGTATCGATTAAGTCACAAAAATGTGTTACACTTTTTTGGGCACTTGCCCCCTCCTCCTGAGGTGACCTTTGACAAGACATTCCGTGTTCCCATTTTTAGGCAAAAAAAAAAAAAAAAGTGGGTAGAAGACGTTAAGTTTGCTCTTTGGTTCATGCAAATCTTTGTCTCATTAGTAGTGTATCTTGCTTGTGCTGGCTTTCCGCAGGCTGACCAAGCTCCTTTGACTCATGTTCCCACTCCTTATGTCTCTCTTATCCTTTGCTGGACAACTTTACCAATATCATGCCTTGAATCTTGAGAAATATCTGGTAAAACTGGCCAATTAGGATGGCAGGCTTAACTGGGAAACAGATGGGGGGGGGTGATGTGGAAAGAGAGGGAGGGAGAGAACAAAAGAAGGCAGCAGTTCTCATGATGACCAAATGAGGCTGCTTCTGCTGGGACATTACATTTACTGCCTAAAATGTGACCTGAACCATTTCTGGTGAACTCCGTTAACCCTGTAAGCTATTGACAGAACCTTTACTCAAATCTTAGTACGGAGTCTCTGCTCCTGCTGCAACGTGGCCAATGTGCATGAATACAGGGGGATTTAAAAAAAAATTCACTAATTCCCAGTTCAGGTCATCTTAGGACTTGCTGGATGTCCCTGAACAACCACTCCATCCAGTGACCCACATGGTTCTGAACTGGACTTGTGTGTATCTCTGTGGGAAAACAAGAAGCATATGAAAACCTCAGGCTGGGTGGGTGGTGGTGAACAGACAGGGAGATGGAGGCTGAGACTGCGGATCAGGAAGCTGGAAATTCCCTCCTGCCTTGGTGTTTGGCCTCTCGCTTTTCCACTTCCCCAAATCACCCTTGCGGTGGGCCTGTGCGCATAGTGGGTGCTCCCTAATCGTCTCTTGAAGTGATGGTAAAACCACAAGAGCCTGAATTCTAGTTCTCGTTCTTAGCGACCATCTTAACATCGAAACTCCAACCTCTCACCTGAGTGCAAGGGAGCCCTGACCACCCTGCCCTCCGTCAGGGGGCTCCCTAAAGGCAGCTCCCGCCGGAGCTCTCACCCCCACCCCCTTCGCCCCGCTTAGCAAGAGAAGAACACCTTTCTCCAGCTTTTAGGTTTCTCCGGGCTGAGTTTACAGCGGGGCTGTCACGGGTCAGGAGCATGGCCTGGGAAGCCGGCCGGCTGGGTGCGATTCCAGGTGGCTCGGAATCCTGGCTTCAGCATCCCCTGCGGGACAGGTGGGGCACGCGCTTTTCTGGAGCCACCCCAGGCCTCCTGCAGGAATGCTGATTGACACTGTCCTGTTTGAGAACTACGGTGTCCAGGGCACGGAGGGCTCCCCGCTGCCCCCTAGGTGGTGGGCGTCGGGTCCAGGGCACCCCCGGGCTGGCTGGGGTCCGGGGGAGTTGGGGCGTGAGCGCGCCGGGAGCGGGAAGTGGGGAGGAGGAGGAGAAAGAGGAGGAGGAGGAGGAGAGGAAGTCCCCCGTGGCCACCCCGAGGGGAGGGCGGGACGGTGCCCGCGGGCACTCGGTCGGGAGACTGGGGAGGGGTGGGCCGGCAGGACAGCTCCGCCCGCGAGCCGAGGGGCGCCGACCCCCCGCGGGAGGGGCGGGGGCGGCAGCGCGTGCGCGGGGCGGCGGG